GGCCTAGTTTGGACATATTTGTGTGTTAGTGAGGATAAGTAGGTTGGAGCAGCATTGTGTAGAGATTTGTAAGCAAGTACAAGGATGCAGAGGACCCAGGATCTTAAATTGAGTCCTATATCTTATGGGAAGCCAATGTAGGGACTGAGAAAGGAATGAGGTGTGGGAGGTGCGGGTGGGTAGGAAGAATCTCGCCGCCTCCTTCATTATAGACTGTAATTGGGCAAGTTGGGAACACATAAGACCACTGAGCAGCGGATTACAGTAGTCGAGGCGAGAGAGGACAGCGGCATGGACAAGCACCTTTGTCATATCAGGCGTTAAATAGGGCCGGATGTGCGCAATATTTTTTAGTTGGAAGCGGCAGAATTTGGCGATTGATTGGACATGAAAGGCAAGGAGCGGTCAGAGTCAAAGAGAACACCTAGGCAATGAGCCTTAGAGGTAGAGCAGATTGACTTGGAGGGCACCATTGACTTGGAGGGAAACAGACAAGGGAGTACCAACACTTGAGGGAGAGAAGTCCAGAAGTTGTGTTTTGGACAGGTTCAGTTTAAGGAAATGAGCAGCCATGCAATCGGAAATAGCAGAGGCAGTCAGAGACACGATTCAAGAGGGGTGGTGAGAAATTAGGAGAGGACAGATAAGTTTGCGTGTCATCTGCCTAGAAATGATATTGGAAGCCAAAGGAGCTGATGAGTTTACAAAGGGAGGCAGAGTAGATTGAGAACAATAGGGGACCAAGGACAGACCTTTGGGGAACACCAACAGAGAGGGATTGGGGAGAAGAGGCAGAGCCAGAGAAATATAAAACACTGAATGAGTGCTGGGAGAGGTAGGAAGAGCAACAGGAGAGAGCAATATCTCGTAGACCGAGATTATGGAGGATAAGAAGAAGCTGTTGATGATCAACAGTGTCAAAAGCAGCAGAAAGGTCAAGGAGAATTAGGATACAGTAATGGCCATGGGATTTTGCAGTGATAAGATCATTGGATACTTTGGTCACAGCTGTTTCAACAGCGCAGAATCCAGATTGAAGCGGGTCAAGCAGAGACTTATCTTAACCTATTTCTTACCTGCCCTCCATTATTTTATGGGGTTATTTCTAGGGTTTTCCTGCTATCTGCTCTCCACTTTGTATACCATTTCTAGGGTTAGAGTTATAATAATAATTGAATGAGTCTAGGAACTAAATTACCATCACTCAATTATTATTTTAACCCTAACCATAGTAATAGTACAAATAGTGGAAGTTAGATAACAGGAAATGTCCTTTTCTTGTTGCAATGGGTATGTGAAATGTTGAGCTTGACATGTTGATGTGTTGAGATGGGTCAATATGTTCTTGGATTCAGGATACAGCATACTGCCTTGGGCAGACTTGGCTGTATCGATGACTTTCATTGATTGGTCAGTTCAATTAAGACGATACATTATTGCACTTAAGTTTCAGTTCTTTCTTGTCAAGATTTAGAGCAGCTAGTAGCAGCTGTCTGGCATCATAATGGTAGCTAGGTTTGTCACTCCTTGCCCTTTCCCATTACCATGAGGGAGCAGTCCAGGCCTCAGTAATAAGAACAAAACAATAGGGTGCGCCAAAAGTTAAAAGTAGAAGTCGAATTGGGAAATAAGTGGGCAAGACAATCAAAGGCATAAAGCAATATATATAATAACATAAATTAAACCAATAAAATAGGTACCCATAGGGGAATAGCAGCAGTCCCAAAATTAGTGAGTCGGTGTCAGAAATGGACACATATTGCGAGCGATTCAATACATACGATCGAAACCAGGTTAGCGAACAATCACCAATACCTGAGTTTTTGAGTTTGTGCAGTAGAATGTCGTGGTCTACTGTGTCAAAGGCCTTTGCAAAATCAAGGAAAATAGCTCCAGTTAGGTCTCCATGTTCCATGCCAGTTTGGATGTTATTGCAAACTTTTAAGAGGGCAGTTGTACTAGTGTGATTCTGGCAAAAGCCTGATTGATCAGGGGCCAGATAGTTTGATTGTTGGTAATACTCACATAGTTGCGTATGGACACATTTTTCTAAGAGTTTTGACAATACTGGGAGCAATCATATTAGGCGATAGTTAGAAACCAAAGTAGTGTCACCACTTTTATGGATAGGCACTACTCTTGCAGTCTTCCAAAGTTTGGGTATTTATCTAGACACCAAGGCTTCGTTAATCAGGGTTGCGACGGGTTTAGCAATTGCCGGCGCACTGAGCTTCAACAGCATTGCTGTGATTTTATCAGGTCCAGACTGGTTTTTCATTTTTAGGTTATAAAGGTGTCTTTTAATGACACTAATAGGTACAGGTCTAAAAATGAACTTGTCTATATTGGGCCTTTGCAAATTTAGTGGGGCTTGATCCACATTTGTAGTTTCAGGATGCGTGTAATTTATTAGCTTGGCAATCAGGGCAGTGAAGCATCTGACAAAATAATTGTTAAAGGCATTTGCTACATCTAAGGGAAGTCACAGGGTTTGGTTATCCACTTTGACAGTGGAGGGTTGGGAGTGGATTGGGGGAGTTTGTAATTTATTTATGATTTTCCAAAAGTTTCTAGGGTTTGATAGGTTATTGTTCAGATTTTCAAAGAAATATTGGGCCTTGGTCAATTTTGTTTGTTTTGTGCATATATCTCACCATTGTCTATATGCACAGTGATCATTCATTGACCACAAAGAATCCCAAAACTGGTACATTTGGATGAGGTCATCTGTGATCCAGTTCATATGTGCTCCTTTTACTCTCACCTTACGCAGCGGGGCATGCAAATCCCAAATGAGTCTTGGCAAGATATTGAAAAATACATGTTGGAGATATCAGACCTCTCTCTTTTATTATGGATAGATCCTATCAGAACAGGTATAGACAGGACTAGAGGTAGACTTGGCGGTAAAAACAATCTCAGTAATCAAATCCTAAAATTCTGGTCTAAATTTAAATCTGAACATAAGCTGGGTTGGGAAAATAGTATCCGATGTAATAGCAATATTAGTCTCTTAGAATACAATATGGAGGAAATGAACCTACACACTTGGAAAGAAAATGGCATAAACTATTTCAGTGATGTCCTAAATGGACCGCAGATAAAATCTTTCCAAGATCTAGTCTACAAATTTCATATTTCCTCAAAAGAAGTTTTTCGATATCTAAGAATTAAGTGCTCAACTATATATTTTAAGAGAGACAACAAAATAGAGAGACCAGAATTCTTATTAAAATATGGAGATAGGATTAGTGCTTTAATGAAAAGTACCTTGTTTGATGATTTAGAACCACCATTAGCTGATCCAGTCACAGCTGTATATAAATAAATGGAAAAATGAGCTTGGAGTAGAGATCAGAATGACAGAATAGTTTAAAATTATACCAGAAGTTAAGAAATGTATACATGCCTTAACCTCAATGAACTCTAATATAAGATAATAACAAGATGGTATCTAGTCCCAAAGAAAATGTCATGAATTTCACTGTGCCTACCAGACTGCCAGTTGTTACCTGTCTTCTTGGGCCTGACTGGGATTGAACCTGGGTCCTCTGCATCCCAGTCAGTGACCTTACCATCTGCTTTGTTATTCTGGTTCTGTTCTCATCCTGTGATGTCTGTGTTTCTGGGCCTGGTCTGCTTCACACCAGTTCTTGATTTAGTGGCTAATTATCTGCCTATTTAAACCCTGCCTTGCTACTGCCTTGTGGTCAGATCGTTTTGTTCCCCTTCATGGATTTTGCTCTGTTCATCCTACTCCTGCTTTGAACCTGAGCCTGTCTACTATAATTGCGTGATCACTGCCTGCCCTGACCTTTGATACTGGACCCGACTTTTCTCTTGAATTTTTTTTGCCTGCTCTATGTAACCGGAAGCACTGTGTCTGTACAGCCCAAGTGCACTGTCTCACAGCCTTGGATATATCTACCTTGAGTCTCCGTGGTTTGTGTTAAATTGCAAAGGGTGCCTTAACGCTGCACTACGGACTCCACCTCAAGGTAAGATCCTGGCATAACGATCTGACCATGGAGTCCACAGAGTTAAGAAAAACAATTTCAGTCTTGACCCAGCAAGTGTCCCAGTTAACCCAGGCACTGCTTGAAGTACAGCACAAACTGGTGTCTCTTAAAGGGAAAGTAAACTGTGTCCAGTATCCTGAACTGACTGAACCAGCAGTTGCCCTACCTGACAAGTTTTTTGGGAATCCTTTCAATAATGCCTTCAAGCTGGATTGCGAGATTTGTAAAAGACTTTGT